CTTGAAAAACAAAAGTCAAACTGTCAAAACTATCCAGTAAAACAAGGCCAGTTGCCATAGATTCTGTGTCCACCATGGGCCAAAGCAGAGATCAGATGTGAGTAAAAATACTGTAAAATGTGTTGGCTTCTATCTCGTTAGGGCTTTTTAGTAGCTACCATCTCTTGTGGCTTCTCCTTCTATGTCATTTTTTCATCTTCGTAGACTCTAAGAGCAGCTTGTCCTGACTGACAGCAACAGTTTATCCTGTTTCCTGATAATACTCCACCCTTCTTCTGTCTTTGTCAACAGAGATATTCTAAGTCCTTAGTAAGAGCTTCAGTACTAGTACTTTATTCTTAGTACGCTTCTCTTCTTGAAGATGGATGCAAACCATTTTCAGCCTCTGTCGGTGTTCCAAAGAATTTTCTCCTTGGCGATGTCTGTGAACAAGATTAGGTGGAAACATACACAGACTTACTCGTGATGGCTTTCTAAACAATCCATCACGTTATAAGCATCGTCAGCCACGATGCAGACACTACTTTGGAATTCACTCCCCCTTTAGGCTTTTATACATTTCCCAACTGCCCTGTACCATGGTGTCTCTTCCCTGCAGGTTATCTAGCTAAATATCACAAGATCTAATTGTTAAAGGTGCTTTCACAAAGTTTGATTCTCTCTATCAAAGTTTGATCCACTTGTAAGACTATAAGACCTTGCTGGTCAGTTTCCTCTTGCAGAAATACCATGTTACCTGTTGAAATGCTGGCTCTCAGAGAGGCTTGCTGTCTGCCAGGCAAATGCTGGACCGTCTTAGTGACACAGAAAATTTCCTGCCAGTGTGCATTTTCAGTGCTTGACAGCGGCATCCTGAAAAGTTAGGTTGCTCTTGCAAGAACATATCCATTGAACACTTGCTTCTTCCACACGGGGTATATTCTGGTTGTCAGAAGAGCTCACAGAAATGCATATTTCATTTAGAGAATCATAAAAATGACAGAGCTTCCTCGAAACAACTGGTACCTTGAGGAGAAGAAGAAGAAGAATTAACATTTGAAAGTTTGGGTGTATAATGTGTTTTCATTTACATTTAGTTTAATATCCTAAGAAAGTGCAGTGTAAATAACAAATAGATTTTTTTATGCACTTGTATTTTCTTAGATGGGCTCCCATTTAAGTATACAAATGAGATAAAGCAAAATGAGACGCACAGCTTAGAGGCTGGGCTCACCTGTACACATTAAGAGGCTCGTGATGGCATTCCCTCATCGGTCTAGCCCTGCTAATAACCCCTCACTGCTAAGCTTGGGCAGGTCACTTTTGTCCTAGAACATGAGACTCATGGGAGTTTAATTTGTTTTGTTATACATCAGTCAGTGCAGCTAAAATATTTTGACATTCACATTTCAGAATACTGATTTCAAAATGCTTCTCTTGCTGTCCTAAAACACACTTGGTTTTCATCTTTGGGTGTCTCAAGATCACATGGCAAAAAAAAAGCTAGATGCCACCTTCTTATGCTGTGAGTTTTATATTGCTTTTACTTTTCTCTGCTAGGAGCATTTTGAGAAAGTAGATCCCTGAGCTCGGTTTCTTCATGAGTAAATGGATGCTACTGGCAGGGTCTACTGACTCCTGGCCTGATAGGGAACATACTTTCCCCCCAAGCCTGGGCCAAGAGTCAACAAGAACAAGGCAAACCCAAGCCAAGCTGGTGCCCTGGCCCTCCCTTCCCGGGTCAATGACCAATCTCCAAAGGCAGAAGCCCATCTGGCTGAAAACTTGAGACGTGGTCTGAGTGGCCTGTGAACTGAAAGAACTGCAGATAGATTGCTACCGTAGATAGATCCAACTAAACATCGTCCTGTTATCCCATTGTTTAGGTAAATCTATGTAACTGGCATTTGGAGACTAAGTCTAGGTGAGTACTCTGAATACTTGACCTAAAAAAATGTCATTTACCATACAAAAGAAAGAAAAAGAATTCTATAATCTAACAATTTTAACTTCGTAAGTTTTTAGAGGAGATTGTCAGGGAAATTTTTCTTTTCTTAAAACATTTTTGTATTTTTGTTAATGCCTGGAAAACCATACATCTCTAAACATATTCCCATTTCTAATGCATTATCCATCATTATACATATGGGGCATATTATTGGACTGACAGAAAAAAATAAACCCTGGGTGAGGATGAGAAGCAGCTGTGGTTAGTAGGAAAAATGCTGGACTTGTCATCTGAAGACCTGGGTTTAATCTCTGCTCAGCCATTTATATTCATGGTGTCCTTAAACAAGTCACTTAACCACCCAGTCTCATTTCTGAAATGGGAATGGCAGTGCCCATTACATAGTTAAGACAATCCTACAGTTACGTGGGGGACTTTTTCTTACAATGGGTGCTCACCAGGGATTCAGTATAACTGAAAATGCACTTAGAATTCACCCAAAAGCCAAAGATATCTAAGAATTCTTGCAGAATTCTGCAGATTTCCCCTCAGTTCCCACACATAGAAAGACTCTAGCAGAATCTGGTGCATAATAGGTACTCTGTTGTAATAGTTCTTACTCATAATATAAAACTAATATTGACAACTACTTACCAATACTTACGCAGGCATCTAAGTGGGTTATTATTGTATTGACTCATTTAATCCTCACAACAACCTTCTGAGGGATCTACAAGTAGATTCCCATTTTACAGATGCAATAACTGAGGTTTAGAGTCTGTGTTCAGACTGCATGTTCTTAGCCAGCAGGCTTATCTTGCCTCTCTAATGTAAAAGAGAGGGAGTTCCCTGAGTCTCCAACAAATTTAAGAAAGGAAACAGTGGTAGAGATGAGAATGTCATGTAAAGTGACACATTTGTTCTTTCTGGATTGGCACTTTTCCCCACTTCCCATCAGCTGGGGATCTTCTTTATTTCAGCTTTGCATTAGCCACTCTAAACAGTTTTGAATTTGATGAATAACTTGGTTATCTGTTCCTGTTGCTAAATGTCTATGGTATTTGTGCTTGGCACCAAATTGTTCATTAATCCAAATACTTCAGCCTTCTGCTGGTGGAGAGAGAGACACAGATTCACTGTCAGTTCAAACAATGGCCATTTGGTGGATAAATGGTTCCAAGCCGGTTCTTCTCCCAAGAACTTACTAGAATGGGGAGAGGTAAATGCCATGTGGTCTGTTCTCCATTACAGGAGCCCGGTGTATGTCTAGTGTGTGGGTGCCCGAAAGCTGCTTTAAAACTACAGGGGGTTACCAAACGTCTCTAAGGTGTGGTTTCAGGTATACCATAATATTTTGGGGAATTGCTACTGAAGAATTTCATGCTGACACTAAATAAATATGTCATTCTTTGAATAACATTTCCTACTTGCTCAGCAGCATTTTCACTTGAGGAACGTAGAATAGTTACAGATGAGGTTCCTCTGGGTCAGCTGTGAGCAAGGTCAGTGAGTTACAAAGCTAGCGGCAGTTCACTGATCCTTAGAAACGGGGCTCTGGAGCTCAGAAACCCCGGGGGGGCAGCCAGGCCATGATTCTACAGATTGAGAAGCTGAGGGGTTAGAGATTAGACAAGACGTGGTCGGGCCACACAGCTCTCTCTTTCCCCACATCCACTGCGGTGTCTTGAAATTCTCCATCTCAACACTGACAATTAAGCAGTTCATAAATGCTGTTGCTTTTGGACTGGCCGTTGTAGACAGAAGAATGTCCACGCTTGTAGACCAGATAGTAGGTGTGATCGTGGTCTTAGACAAGAGTTTGAAGAGGAAAGTAGGGGAGAGACTTTCGTTTCGAAGTTCCAGTTACACACCAGCTATGAGTCCAGTAGGAAGAAATGGGAGAAGTTGTGGAAAAAGAAACATGGCAGCTCCAGGAGCTTTCTGAGAATCTTGGAAGTCAAGAAGGACAGGTGTAAAAGATGGAAGGAGGGACATGAATCCAAATACCATGGGAAATGTCCCAGAAACTGCTGGCAGATCACTAGGAGGGCTTCCACCCAGCCTGTACTGAGGCTGGGAACAGAGAGACAAGGGAACACAAAAGGATGGGGTAGGGTTGATGGAGAGAAAACTGAAAACTCCATGCCTGAGAAGGAGCTCCGTGCCTGAGCTCATCAGAGGTGGCATGGCAGCCAGGAGTCACCCAGACCTGCCTGCACCCTACCCTGCCACCAAGCCAGCTGGGTGGTCTCCAGCAGGTTACTCACCTTCTGCAGTGTAAGTTCAGGTAAATGTGAGTGGTCTGATTTCCAAATGAGAAGGCACAGTGTATTCGTCTTTAAAGTGGGAATCGAAGTCGAGAAGAGGAGAGACGTCACTGTTTAAAGACACTTGACATCCCCAACATGGACTGTTTTATTTTTCAGTCTGTATGTGCATGTGTACATCCCCTTTGGGTTGGTGAACTTAGCTTTTCTCTGACTACTTAGCCTCTGCCATGTTGGAGGAGCTCCTAGAACTATTTAACTGAGAGAGAAAATAAAGCAGGAAATACCCACTGCGGAGGGAGCAGTCAGAAGGTTGCTGATAGTTTTTGGTAAAATTATCAATAGATTAAATAGACAGATAGATAAGATTGATTTTATATGTGCTTAATAGGCACATAGAAACATCTGGAAAGATGCACATGAGACTGTTAACAGTTATTGCCTCCAGAGACAGTCACCTGATTTATTTAATAGGAAATTGATTTTTTTGACATGTGCAATATTACTGTTTCAGTTTTTAAAAAATAATTTTAATGTTAGATTGAATGAAACTGAATGTCCAGAAAATTTGTTCTCTCAGCATTTTCTTTTCTTAGAAATCCCTTTTATGTCTTCCCAGCACAGCGAATACATCCATGCCTATCTGCAGGGATGTGCCTTGGAGGATCCCAAGGGGCACACACCATGCAGATGTCCCAGGCCAGGCTGGTCCTCCGGGCCCTGAAAGCTCCCAGACTGTTGCTGAAAGTGGACTCATGAGCATGAACACTAACCCATTGTCCAAGAGGTAGAATCTTGACAGAGGTTGTTTCCAACAGTATGAGGCTGATGCTAAAGGAGAAAAGCTCTGTGGGTAATGGGAGACATCGCCAAACCAAACTGCACACCTGGTACTAGTGATGTCATGCTTTGCTGTCACTGGTCCTATTTGCTAAAGAAGTTACCTTCAGAGACCAAGTGTCAGGGTTGATTTTTTTGAGAGGTGTTGCCCCAGTTCTTTGGCTCCTGGCTTGGAAGAATCACAAGCCCGGCCATGCCCGGGAGTCATGACAGACACAGCAACTCACACAAGCAGCTTTTTGGAGAAGACGCTGGGCTCTTACCACACTTCTACTTTTATGTCTGTACCTTACGATATGCTAAATGGTGGGTGGAATATTCATCACTTTCTTGAGAAAAGGGTGGAGAATTTTTAGAGCTAAGGGCCGTCTGTCAGAGCCATGGCACTGATTTTTACTGTGCTCATGTATGTTAATGGCGAAAAGGTTACGTTTGGATGTGAGCTCCTAGTTTCTGTGCATGCTCCTGGTCGGGAAAAGTCCCTAACCGCAAGTTCCTGATGTTGTGGGTTAGGTTCTAAATGCTCATCGGCCGCCATATTTTTGCCCCCTCCTCTGTTCCTGTGGTTAATGCTGCCCACCTGCCCCTGCCCCTAACACAGCCATCTCCAGAAGCTGCGCCAGTTTTGTAAAGCCCCCTGTTAATTTGCGGTAAGGGCCTTGGCAGTAATCTTGGGGCTCCATAAACACCCCTCCTTAGGACTCATCACACTGTGCTGAATTCCTTTGTCCTCACATCTGACTCCCCCAGCGGGCTGCCCAGAGCTGGGCAGGACTGTCTGCTGCTCATCTCAGAACTCCCCCAAACCCAGCTCAGAGCCTGTCCCAGGGCCCAGTGCTCAGTACCTGTTAAATGAGCAAAACAGAAAAACAATTAAGAAATAGAAAGGATTTGCCTCGTGCAGGAAAGAAAATGGTACAAATCTGATAACACACATTTAAAGACATGTCTAGGAGCAACTAAAATCTGCTAATGTGTTTTAAATCCATATGAAAGAATTCAAGTGGGTGGTGAGATACTCCATTTCTTAAAAGAGCTATTGGACTGTCAGGAAAATGTGTGGTTTAAAAAAAAAAAAAACTATCAAAATACTGGAATAAGATGTATATGTTTTAATCACTAAGAAGCAGTGTCCCTGGTGAGGAGGGAGGGTGCACCAGTGCAAATGAAATGGTGTATACACACAGAGAGAAAGGGAGCCCCGGATAATTAAGGATGGCAGTGACGTCCTGGTGTCTAGAATGTCCAGCTGTCCTTCCGCACGGTGCCTGTGTCCATGGGCGCACATACTATGTCTCCCACCCACAGAGGGGGCCCACCCACCTAGGAAGGGTCATTTTTAATAGCAGCTTTGGTGGAATATACACTAAAAAGTACTATCATTAAGCACGCTTTAAAGTCCCAATTAGCTGGACACAGCACAACATACTTTCTGAAAAGAGAACATGAAACCAGACCAATCTATTAGCATTCTTCGAGGAGGGAGATAGGGGCCTGGAGTCGAGGGAGAAACCCAGGGATGAATTATGTTTAGACTTTCAAAATTCCTGCTGATGAAGTTTCACCCCGAAGGTCATTTACAATAGTAAGTCGCTCCAGCACAGGGGGTGGAAATCGCCACCGCAGACCGGAATTATCCTCAGACAGGAAACAAAAAATAGGATAAACAGGTACTTTTCTGGATGAAGAATTATTAACAGTGGGGATCCCCCAGGATTGTGGGTATGCCCAGACTTAGTTTACATTTACATGGATTATCGGAAGGAGAGGAAGCTCAGATGGTTCCAGGCCTTGGGATGAAACGAAGGCTCTGCAGAGATAGCAAACAAATGGTGATTAACTGCAGGATGAGCTTATGAGTGAGCAAGAAAATGCATATTAAGCTTTTGCAGGCACAAGTCTTAGTTAATGCATTTACGAGAACATAATCCAAATTACAAGAAAAGGAACTCTGTCCGGTCTGTTTATAGCCACAAGGGGATCCTGGGGGTCTTTGCAAGACATTTGTTTGCTAAAGGGCACTCAGGACCAAGTGTTGAGAAAATGCTAAAATGCTACCAGAAATGGTACTGGGAACCAAGCCGAAAATAATATTCCACCTGGGCTATACCCAAACCAGGCCATTTTATTACCTTCCCCTTGAGAAAAACACCTCACAGCTATTTAAGGGTGAGCAACATAGTCTCCCAGGGCGCTTCACGAGAGGCTGTGCTCCTTCGTTCCCTAAGGGCTCCAGTGCAGAAAGATGAAGCCAGAAAAGTGCTATGATCAAAGTCTGTAAAACTTTGAAGGTTGTAGAAAGAGGGGACAGGGACTGGTTCATCAAATCTGAGACGACCCAGACCCCAGAGTAGCCCTTGAAGTTGGAAAGAGGAATTTGAGGGATAAATTAAAAATAAGGATTAATTCCCACTCTTGAGTTGTTAATTGTTAGTTCCTCAAAACATGGTCTAGGCAAACATTTTTCAGGGGGTAGGAGCAGGGGAGGATGCCCAAGAACTTTTGCCAAACTCTTGGCCAATAAACAAATGATGGATTGAGAGCCATTGGCTGCATATCCCTGCACTTCCAAGGTTGGCAAGAACCCCCAGGACCAGTGTTGGATCATCAGCTTCCTCCATAGTAGACAGGGTTCTGTTAGGACAAGTGAAAGAAATCTAAATCAAACTAGTTTCAGCAAAACAAGGAACTTTGTGGGCTCCCGTAGCTGGAACAAATCCTAGTATAGCTCACAGGCAGTCAGAGAAGAGCCACAGGGGGAGTCCTGTGCTGCAGACTGGCTTGGAGAGGGGGTTAGCCCTGAAAAATCCCCATCGCTCCCCAGAAAGCTGGCCAGATAAAATACAGCTTAACTGAAAACAGTATGACAGCTCTGCAAATGCAACCTCAACCCCCAGTACTCATAAACACTTCCCACCAGATTGCTACCCTGTGTTGGAGTCAGAGATCAGAAACTGGGGCTTCCCCTATAGCAACAGTCTCAGGAAAGATTCTGATTGGTCTAGCTTGGGTAACATGCCAATCACTGTTTTAGTGAAAGTGATTGTTAAGTTATCTGTCTTGCTTTGACTTTAAGCCCAAGGGGTATAAACTGATTGAGTTGACCTGGAGCTTCTGTGCACTTCCCAGGAGGGAGGAGGGCATGGGCCTGAGATTGATGGAACTTAGAAACCCAGCTATTCCCCTACATATGAGGAGACCACCTTGAAAATGCTGATGCCCAGGCTCTGCCCCCAGAGATTCAGATTCAGCTGTTTTGGAGGGGGGCCTAGGCATCTGTATTATTTTTAGATCCCCACACTGGTCTCCCAAAAGAATAGCCTCCCCCGACCCTTTGAGGCCTTGGGTAGGGCTCCCAGGAGCTTCACAGGCTTTCTGCAGCTCTTGCTCTGTTTCTACAGCTTTGCCGCCTTCTCCTACAGCCGTACTCCTGCGCTTGCAGATTCTCAGGCAAGCCACACCTTGCACATGTTGTACTCGATGCTCCTACCTGGAGTTCTCTCCTTGGTCCTCCCTCCTTGACCACCGCCTTCCCCAGTACACAGCACACTCCCGCACGGGGACAGCATCCCTCCCCTCCCTGCACCCCAGGCTGGGCTGGAGGCCCCTGGCGCCCGTGTTCTGTGTCTCCTCTGCCAGAGTCTCTGTTATGCTTAATTGAAAGTGATTGTTAAGTCATCTGCCTTGCCTTGACTTTAAGCCCAGTGGGGACTTGCTCACTGTCATTGGAATCAGTGGCACACACAGCATGCCAAGCATGGGGTTTGCAGTGCTCAGCTCTGCATATTTGAGCCAGTTATTGGGTGAGTACTTCTGCTCGCTCAGTTTCAGTTTCCTCATCTGCAAAATGAGGGTGATAATAGAACCTACTTTAGCTGAAAGTGTCTAGAAAGGTACCTAGCCAGCACCCCACATAATATGAGAGCGTATCAAAATATTAGCCATTATTTCAAAGGACACACTACTTTTTCAGTAAAGATCCTTTACCACTCATCTTTTTCTGTTATCTGTTTCTACCAGCAATTCAAATACGGGCTGTCTTATTTATTTCTTTATTCCCCAAGGACTAGCATGTAGAACTGAATGGTATATTTATTAACTGATGACTCAGGCCCTAGATTCGGGAACATTCTGTTCCTACCCAGAAGCAGGAAAATTTAGTGTCCTCCCACCATTGCCCCTGGGAGGGCTTTAGCCTTCTGCAGAACCCTTCCTTCCAGAACCCCCCTGACCCCCACCAAACAGCCCCGAAGAGAGGAGAGGGCGAGAAGGTGGCAAGGCTGGGGCATCAGCCGTGGGCCTCCACAGCCAGGGCTGAGGAAAGGAGCAGGAGCTATGCAGAAGAAGGTCTCTGCTCCAAGACCTAGGCTGCAAGTTAGCGGAGAGAACATAAGTGGTCAGACTCTATGGGACTATTCGTTTGAAGTCACCTACACTTTGAGTTAAGTGCGTTTCTATGGCTAATGGGGTGCTGAGTTCTAAAATCCAACATTTTAAGAATTTCTGGCTCCTGCAGAGAATTGAGAAGTTGTTAAAAAGTTGGTAGATCTGGCCAACGTAGACAGATTTGGTCAGCACAACCCCATACTGCTCTAGCTGGGGCTAGGTTTCTCATGATAGTCTAAACTGTGCGGTGGCCAAATCCCCGCTTCGAGGATGTCACACGTTTCTCCTCATGAGAAAAAAGCCCTTTGCATCCCTTCCCAAATGACTTGCTCATGCCTTACAACTTAGGTCTCCTCCCAAATGGCAGCCAGTCCCTTACCAGGACTCTGGGGACCTCCCATGGCCCAGCATCTCTTCCAAGTTGTATTCTGTTGCAGTCTTGGGATGACAGTATTATCAGCCTGTCCCTTACAGATGAAAACACTGAGACGTAGAGGTTAAAAGTCCTGCTGCCAAAGGCCCACTCTTAGGCGAGGGAAGGGCCTGCTCTGGGCTCTTCTGCAGGCCGCGCTTCACTGCTGGGTCCTGAGCCCTGGTCTCTGACCAGCAGACGCTGCGGCTGGCCGTGATGGTGGTTCATTACTGTCTAGGCAGCTCGGAATGCTAATGATCCCGTCTCTCTCATTAGCGAGAGAACTAGAACTAGCTGGTGAAAGGCAGAATCCAGCAAATGGTGTTAATTGGTGGCTCTCAAAGGTGAAAAGGCCACTGGGTGCCCCTGCAGTCTGGCTCCCTGCCTGCTCAGTGTACGGGGCAGCTACTGGAATGAGCTGCCGTCCTATGATTCTGTAGGTGACGGGGTCAGGTCAGGCTCAAGGGGTGGCCAAGATTGAAAGGAAAACCACTGGAGACCTAGATTTTGAATGGTAGGTTTTCACTGTAGCATTTTGCAAATCGGTACCTAAAATGAACCTCGGTTTTGGGGGGACAATGATGAGACAGAGCCTATTGATCCGAGACCTGCATACTGGAGGGAAATCCGATGGCACTCCAACTCTGAGGAACAGCTGAATCCAAGGCATTTTGACCTAAGGAAACAGCAGCTTCCTGCTGCCCCACTGCACAGCACGGCAGGCTGGGGCATTGGCCCCCTTTCTTACCTGTTTCGGGGAAGCAGGATTCAGAAGTCTGCCTGCCCAGGTGGTGTCCCCACAGTCCCTTTCCTCGAGGTTTGCCCCTCACTGCCCTCCCTTCCTGGCAGGTGGGGTCCTAAATGCCCGCTCAGCCTGCAGCCTGCGTGGCCCGCAGCAAGTGAGGACTATGGCAGTGCTCAAGAGGAACATCTAAATTGGATAAAAACCCCAGAATTTATTTTCCCAAAGAACCAGATGGGCAGGCTTGGGGGTAAGGGGTGGGGGCGGGGGTAGAAATTGGTTGGACTAAAAACACTGGCTCTGGCCTATTTGCGTTTCATCCACAAGGTGTTTCTCAGGGGAAGCTGCCAGTCCCTGAAATATCAGGGCAGCAGAAGAGCCGCAGGGCCTAGGGAACCTTGGGGAAGAGACCTTTTCTCCTAGAAAAGTGAGCGACCCAGTTAAGAAACGTCACCACCCTGAAGCCCTCCTAAGAGCGACAGTGGGGGCCTTGCGGGCAGCGCCAAATGGCTGAGAGGGACCTGGGACCGCCGTAGCCAGGTCTCCGGAGTCGCAGCTGTGTCCCGGGTGGCAGGGTCAGGCCCTTGGGCGCCCGACTCGGGGCACAGCCCCAGCAAGTCCTCAGGAAGCAGCGAGGTGCTTGCACGACCCGGGAGCGGCGACCGGAGCCCAGTCGGGATGGGCAGGCGGGACCCTCGAGGTGCGAGGTGCGTTAGTAGCCGAGACCCAGAATGCCTCCTGCCCAGAGACCCCGACAACTTGGGAGCGGATTTTTCAGCTTCCTGCACTGGGGACACGTATGAGTGAGAAAAATGAGCCAGGGGGTGTCAGTGGCGGCTTGGGGGGACGGCTGTCTGGTTGGAAAGGAGGGCTGGGCTCGTCTCCAAACAGTTTGTACTTGGGTTGGACATTCGTGGAGGGGACTAAGGGGGCGCGCTGCCGTCCGTGTCCCTGCGGGGCTTGGTTCCGAGGGCAGCCGCGCCAGGGCCGTGGAGCTGGGGCGCGCCCGCCGCTCTCGGGCCGCCGTTTCCCAAGCGCGCAGCCGGGCCGCCTCGTCCCCGCCCGCCGGCCGCCTCCCCCGCGCCCCACCTCGCGCGGGGCTGAAACCCGAGCGCCAGGGGCGGGCCGCGCGGCGGCGGGGGCGCGGGGCGCCCTGACATTGGCGGGGAGCGGGTGATGGATGGCGGGGCGGGGCGCGCGCGGGCGGAGCGGGGAGCGCCGGGCGCCCGCGGCCGTGGTGGACCGAGCCTCCCGGCTCGCTGCTCCCGCCGGCGGAGCGAGGCTGCCGCGTCTCCGCAGCGTGATTTATTTTTTCTCTTCTTCTAAACTCTTCTTCCAGGGAGAGGCTAGTGGTAACAGGCCGAGCTGGATGGATGGGTATGGGGAGAGGGGCAGGACGCTCAGCCCTGGGATTCTGGCCGACCCTCGCCTTCCTTCTCTGCAGCTTCCCCGCAGGTAAGGCGCTGCCCCTGGGCAGGGGGACCGCGGGCCGGGTTCCGGGCCACATGGGGCCACGAGTCCGCGTCTGAGTTGGGGCTCAAGTCCTCCGGCCCCCACCTCCCATTTCCACGGGCCTTTGTTTCTCCCGCACCCCGCGGAGGGCACTTTGGATGCCCGTGGGGACCCAGGGGGGGAACTCCGCCCGAGCTGCAGTGGGAAGGAGCCCGGCGGGGAGGTCGCGAGGGCCGGGGCGCCTCTCTTCCCCTCCGTTTCCTGAGAAACGGGGTGTCGGGGACTTGCCTCCCAGAGGCTCCGAGGAGGGGGAGAAAGGGAGGCACGCGCTCGGGGTTGGGGGCACTTCTTCAGCTCCTTGCCCACCGGTCTGCAGACCTGCCCGGTGCCCAGCGGTGGAGCCAGGGGCGCCCCTGAGGTCCCAGCCGAGTCCCCGGCCGCCCTCGCCCCGGAGACCTCGTCCTGTCCCACGCGCTCGTCCACGCGGAGAAACCCACGGACCCGGCTCACATGAGCTCGTGTTGCTGTTTGATAACATTCTGCGTCGCCCCCTGTTTGTTTTCCTTGTGTCAGAAAGGGAGAGAATTTCAGAATTAAAGCTGAAAAAGCCCATCTGTTTCCAATGAATCCCCCATAGTTTTTCACAATGTTTTTGGCAGATTGCTGCTTTCAAATTCCTCCGAGCCCGGACCTCTTGTTTTTGTTGGGGGAAGGGAGACCAACTCCACAGAGAAGCATTTGTTCCTTCCCAAACGCTCCAGTTTCTTTACTTTTTTTTCCTTTCGAGGGGAGGGGGTAGGCACGAAACTTAAATCCCAGGCCTGTTTTCTTTAAAATGTTTCGTAAAACTTTATTTCATTTTTGCCATATGCTGCTCACAGCCTGGAAACGCCAGTGAAACCCATTATACCCATTTTTTTCTCTTGCAAAAAATACAGATAAACACAGCGTCACCGGCCAAACGGTCTCCCGGTGCAAGGCAGGGTCTCCCAGCCATTTCCATTGTGTTGTGGGAGTCAGAAGTGTCTTTTTGCAAAATTAAGAACTAGTTTTGCACCGCAGCAGCAGCCCGGACGCAGATCTGCAGCCCCAAGCATGGCTGAGCTTTGCAAGACACGACTTGAGTTAGACTTGGATTGGGTTGTTTTGTTTTGCTCTTCAGCCAACTGGGTTTCAAGGAACTGGCAAAACTGGGCAGGTTCGGCTTGGCCTGGCTGCGAATTGGGGCTCCTAGTAGGTGGACCACGCAGACTGAACTGTAGGGAGCAAGGGATCAGTTTACCCTCTTGTCCAAGACCAGCTCCCGGCCCCCCAGCACCCACTTGGCCCAGTGCTGGCCGAGTGTGCATCTGGCTCTTTTCAGTAGCTGCACCCCAGGGAGAGTCCCAGAGAGCTGCAACCTGCTCTAGATCCCTGGATTCCACTGAGAGGCCTGGCCAAGGAAAAGATTGGGGTAGAGGAGACAAGAAGAGGGCACATGCGGGCTGAGTGTCCCCAAAAAGCACTCAGCCCTGGGGCACCCTCGACCTAGAGTATCAAAATCTCCACAGGGGTCAAGCAGCAGGGTGTCCTCTGCCCACCCCCACTCCTTTTAAAAGGCAGTTTCTCCACCTACTAAATAAAGAGTCTGGCTGAAAGGCTGATTTGGTTCTCTCCCAAGAACTAAAAAAATAATAAAAATCAGCCTCTTCTTTAAAAAGAAGTCCCCCTTTTGGACAAGCAGGAGTTTGCAATTTGTGCTCATCTCCGTTTGGTCTAGATAAAGATCCAGCCCATTGGAAGTTGTATCAGATGGGTTGATAAATGGCTTTTGTCCCTTGGTTGCCGAGGGGGATGTGATCTCAGCTCAAAGCTGAAATTGAGAAGGGGGGCTTAGAGGCCCTTAAAACAACACCTTCCCGCTCTTAAAGCTGCAGCACTTGTTAACTTTTGCGGCTAGAGAGAGAGGAAAGGAAGGGCTGGCAGAAGCTCTCAGAGGTAGGGCCTGCAAGGACTAGGTGGCATTGTTTTGTTGTTTCTCTATTCATATCTCTGTTTTAAAAACTTTAAAGTATCCCAACATAGTTAGAGGAACGCTGGTGTATTATATAATTCACAGCCCAAATTCCATCACTTTTGTTTCCAAGAAGCCCATTCCTTATTGGCTTCAAAGCAGGTAACTAAAACCTGGCAGATAGAACAGATAGCTGCTCAACTGTCACGCCAACTGGCTAATGTTTCTTCTCATTTGAGCCCTTGACAGCTGCATTTAGTCAAAATTGCCCACCTTACTGAAAACTGAGCTGCCAGTATCCCAAAATGAAATATCTTCGGGTCTCTGAAACTTGTGCACTCAAGACAGTTTCTGAGGGAATGAAATTGGGCGATTTCTGTGACAAAGAGACAGACTGTCACATTCTGTGATGCTTTGGCCCAGCAAAGGGGCTGCGTTGGAATAAAGTCAGCAAAATCTGCAGGTCTGGAGCAGAGCAGGTTGGGAGTCAGAGAAATAAAGCCCTGGCAAGTGCAAGGCCCCCAGACACACTCGGGGCCCCGTGTACCTGGGCCTCTTGTGCTGGAGACAGGTGGAAACTGGCTGAGCAGCCGAGTGAAAGCCTAAGTTTGTTCAGGGTTAGCCAGCTTGAATGGCTGCCAGGGGTGAGCCGTAGGAGTGCAAATTGAACTGGACATAGCTATGTGGAGAGAGATGCCTTCGCCTCTGCCGCACCGAGAGTGTTTGTGTGATTCGGGAGTGTTTGCATTTACTTACTCAACGTGGATGGCCAACCTACTATGTTCCTGACTCAGTGGCAACTTTTGGGGCCCCCCTGACCAAGGCGCTCAGGAAGACCACAGCGTGGTAACAAGAAAGGACCTCTGCACTGTCACATGGGCTGGCAGGGTGTCTGCTTGGGTGACGCGGTGAGGACAGAGGACAGGCAGACCGTGGCCACATTTACCTAGGAAGGGGAGGCCAGAAAAGGCTTCTCAGAAGAGCATTCCACAAATAGCATCCTTTTCAAATCACAGTTAACACATACTTTTTAAACTTTGAAGCCATTGTGACTTATTCAAACAGATTTCTAAGAATAGTGCGTCCAGGGCATATGTTTTGGACGTGTTGACATGCTTCCTGCTCACGACGTATGGATCCTATACTCTAGCACAGTGTTTCTCAACGCGTGGTCCTAGACCAGCAGCATCAGCCTCCCCAAGTCCCCTGGGGACTTGTCAGAAATGCAAGTTCTGGGCCCACCCCAGACCTAGTGAAGCAGAGACTCTGGGGCTAGGGCCTTGCAGTCCACGTTCTAACGGGGGCCCAGGGGATTCTGATGCGTGCTCAAGTTTGAGGACTACTGTTCCAAGAGCTATTACACTTTAGCCTTTCTTTATTCCTTCTTTCTTTCCCTTATACTTTTAAACTATAGCTGTTTGGAAAAGTTAGTCCTCAGTGGGAAACTAAGGCTTGGGGAGACCAAGGCCTTCTGCAGTGACCAGGCACGTCTTTGTCGCTATAGAAATGAAAAAGTTTCTGTCAGAGCTGCTATTCACAACTGTGTGAGCAAGTCAGCCTGCTTACCACACTTTATGTCCCAAAGGAAAGTGTCTTGGTCCTCTTGGGCTGCTATAACACGGTGCCATAGGCGGATGGCCGATAAGCAACAGTTTACTGCTCACAGTTCTGGAGGCCGGAAAGTTCAAGGTTAAGGCACTGGCAGATTCAGTGTCTGGTGCAGACCTACTTCCTGGTTCATAGATGGTACCTTCTCCCTCTGTGCTCATGGCGCAAAAGGGCTGGGGAGACTCTTTGGGGTCACTTTTATAAAAGGTCACTAATCCCATTCATGAAGACTCCACCCTTATGACCTCCCAGAACCCCCCCCCTTAATGCCATTACGTTGGGGGTTAGGTCTCAACATATGAATTTGGGAGGAGGGAGGATGCAACATTCAGTCCATTGCAGAAAGAATGAAATGCTGTTGAACTGCAAGAACCAGACGGCCACAGAGCCAGCTAGCAGCTGGTGTGTGACAGGGTCAGCCTTGGCTACCAGGGACAGCACACATGTAAGACCCCATAGATGATTAGACCCTTAGGCCTGGGAGGTAAGTTGGGGAGTAAGGGAAGGATCTCTGGTTTTCTGGTTTGAAGAGGGGAAACCTCTCTGCAAGGTTGGAGAAATCACTAGCAGTCACCCAGTGCTCAGAGGAAATGAGCTGGGGAGAGGTGACCGTGGGCACAGATAGGGCTGTTCTATGATAAGGGGAAGAGGGGGCCCTGGGACCTGTGCAGGTAAGAGGGTGGGAGTGGTGACCAGTTACATGTTGCAGGAAAGGTGGTTTCTGCTAAAGACTCTGTCTTGGGTGACACTTGCAAGGCCTAGGACTGGGCAGAGCACCCCTCTTTCGGTTTTGGTTGAGTAGCAGTGAGTGCCATGCTGTTTTGCTGCTTGGCTAAAATTCAACCTGTCTAAAATTGCAGGCAATATTTCTTATAGGGTGACCAACTTATTCTAGTTTGCCCAGGACCTCCTAGTTTTAAAACTAAAAGCCTCATGTCATAAGAAGCACCTTCAGTCCTGGGCACACCAGCATGGTTAGTCACCCTCATTTCATCCCCGCCTGTCCCCTCAGCTCACTCCTTGCCTGAGTCTGTTAGGGACACTACAGTCCTGGGTGTAAAGTGGGCCTCTCCATGCAGTCCAGTCACCTGGGGTTAGGGTCCTTTCTCCGCCCTATCCTGCGTATTCCCACTGCCACCTTGTCACTGTTGTAGCAGCTGACAGCCCTACCCACCCTCCATGCTGCCAAATGGGTCACTCCAAAACTCCTGCTCAGGAACTCAGGGCTTTTTGTGGCCCCTTTGGAGTATCAAGAAGAGAGGACCCCTGACTCCTGGCCTTGCACTCTTCCCAAGCCTCATTTCCACAGCTTTTGGCATGTCCCCAAGCCCCAGGCCACCCTTTGCCTCCCCATATACCATCCACCACACCTTGCTCAGGGCACTGCCCAGTTTGGAATGGA